GGTTAGTCCCGGTTATTCGAGGGCTCCAATCTATTTGTGGGGAGCTGCACATGCTGGAAACCGGGTCCAGCGTCCCATACAGAAACTTGCCATTTCACTCGATGCAGCTGCCTACCAAATCATTATGCCTTTTCACCTGATGAGACAGGCGCCAGATCTGCCTGCGATAAACTAGCTAGTTAGAACCCTCATGACATCGACTGTTTCTGCCTATTTTTCTCCATTGTTTCCAGTGTGTCTATTCTGCTGCCAACCTTACCAAATTCCAGGAAAACCCAGGCCTAAAACCTGCAGGTTTTGTCAGTCTCCACTTGCCGTTGGGGACTCTCCTCCCTATATTTCCCCTACCCTCAGCCCCCAGAGACTCACGGGGGTCTGGGCCCCAACAGCCATGGAGTAAGCGAGATACCTTCGTTCGCCTTCCTACTGACTAGCCTGCCCTCCAGTCCCCAGGTCCCAAAAAACCATTTATACCTTGTTCGTCTGTTCCTTCTCTTCCTCCAGTCAGCCCAGATCATCGACCTTATGCTGTCCAGAATCTCTTGGAGGATGGAAGTGTCTGAATAGTGCTTGGCCTTGAAGAGCCTGCCATTTCTTAACTTCCAAATAACATTCATGATTGCAGCTCTAGCAGCTATGGCCACATAACCCCAACCCTTCGTGAAGGAGGTCTTGGGGGGCAAGATCCCGTTCATTACAAAATCTTCGTCCCATGTAATATTTGCCTTAGCAAACTTTTCCCAATGATAACTCCACCAGCTCCAGATTCTATGGGACTCAATGCAGCCCCACCACAGATGGACCACCGTCTCCGGTTCCTTTCTGCAACGTGCACACTTCTCCTCCACCGGCATGTTTCTCCCCTTCAACCATATTGCCGTTGGGACCGCTCTGTGCGAATGCAGCCAAGCCAGGCTAGCAAACTTAACTGAGGGAATCACTTGAATAGATTCCCAAATCGTAATTAAGTCTTCTGACAAGACTGCCCTTCGATTCTGGCTGTTTGTTGCCCTCTCAGCATTCCATTTACTCTTAACCGACAAAGGGGTTTTCCACCCTTTGACCTGCACTCTATAGCCCGTACAAGGCTTGTACTCAAATAGTGTTGTTGGCTCTTGAGACTTGTGAGGCTCCCAACCCCATTGAAGAGGAAGTGCCCTCAATTTTGTTACTGGTAGAGGGCCTAATGGGCACAGAATTTACGACCTCCCCCTCCTGCCTTTTACATCCTTTACTACTACTTGTCTACATCCTGTAAGATCCTCCCACACCTCTTGCCCTTCCTCCTCAGAGACCAACAGATTCCCTACCTGATCCTCCTTTAGTCGACCCCGAATCATCTGAAATTCCCCATCACTCCTTATCTTCTCGACTCTCCACAGGCACTCCGGTTGGTTCTCGTCCCCCTCCAGGAACCACTTACCTTTGTAGGATGATCCTGGTTTAGCCAGTATGGTCTTCCACTCAGAGGGTATGCTTTCTATGATGTCTGCCAATCTGTTTTCTACAAACCTTAGATGCTTAAGCTTCGATCTGATTTCGCTTGCTGACCGCCAGTTAGCAGTATCTGTGTTCCATAGGTCCTTCAACCTTGAGACCCCCTTTTGGATCCTCGAAGATCCAAATGCGCCTGGGACTTCCTCGGCAGACCATGGCACCCCCTCCTGGGAGCAGATCCAGCGGTTTTCGAAGATGTGCTGTTGGAGGACTTCATCCAGCGACTCCGGTTTCTTCTGCTGTTCAGGGAATACTTTAGACCAGGCCACTAAGATGTCCGCCCAGATGTGGGATTTCAATTTCCTCTTAACAAAGGCCTTCTTGAGTAAGCAGACCCCCACATCCTCAGTTCTGGAGAGATCCCATTCCTTCGCGAGGATGGATAAAGCTAAATCCACCAGGGGTGATTTGAGTTATCAGACAACAGCTTGATTGGCCACCTAGCGAGAAGCGCTGAGATCTGCATTTCCGGATCCAAGACTCCCAGTCCCCCATTAGCTTTCTCCCCCACCACTTTTTCCCAAGCAACTTTCGCTAGATACCCAAGGCTTTCGTCGAATACCCCTTTCCACAAGTACCTGCGTGCGGCCATGATGAGTCTTCGATAGGACTCCTTCTCCAAAGGCCGTAGGGATCCGGGAAACCATCTATCTGCGAAGACCACGCTGTTTAACAGCAAGGCACGCCCTTGGATTGATACCCCTGGGACCTTTGAAATTTTCTCTAATTTGGCTAGCATCTTAGCTTCAGTTAGGTCGCTTGCTTTCTTCTTTACATTACACATTCCAACTTGCACCCCCAAGAATCTCTCACTTTCATGCACAGGTAAACACTTCAAACCCCAATCCACACATAAACGATTGTCACTGTGTGTGATGGCCACTGATTTGGGCCAGTTTACCAGAGCCTCAGAGAACAGTGAGTACAAATCCAGGCATTTCTTAAGGGCCCCGAGCGAGGTTTTTGAATTAGTGGACAAAGCAAACAGATCATCAGCCATTGCTGAGGCCTTACATTGCCTCCCAGTACCCAAATTGAGACCCTCAATATCTGGATTTTTCCTAATGGCGCACAAGACTACTTCCATTTGGATAACGAACAGCAGAGGCGCCAACGGGCACCCTTGCCTGAGGGACCTTGAGAGTAGGAATGGGGCGGAGATCTCCCCATTGACCATAACCTTACCTATTCCCTTAGTATAGAGAGCCTTGAACCACCTGCAGAAGATATCCCCAAAGCCAGCCAGCGAGAGAGTTCTCAAAACAAAATCCCAATTAACTCTATCATAGGCCTTCTCTAGATCCAGGAGCAAGGCCACTACATGGGGTTGGTCCTCGTTCATAACTTCTAAAGCTTCGATTGCGAGCATAATATTGTTCATAATGTTTCTGTTTTTCACAAAGCCGGCTTGTTCAATCCCGATTAGCCCCGGAAGGTGACGTTTGAGTCTAATCGCTAAGGTCTTAGCGAGGATCTTGTAGGAGGTGTTCAGAAGAGAGATAGGTCTCCAGTTCCTTATGTTCCTCTTCTCACCTTTTTTGTATAAGAGGGAGACTATCCCTAATCTGGACTCCTCCCCTAGGTTTGAACCTTCCAGTAGACCATTATAGACGGAGACCAGTTCCGGGCCTAGTGTGTCCCAGTATGTGAGGTAGTATTCCACCGGTAACCCATTGCTGCCGGGACATTTCCCTTTTGGCATGCAGCAGGTTCCAGTCTTTAATTCCTCCAAAGTAACCGGTCTGTCGAGATCTAGCCTTGCATGGGTTGAGATCCTAGGATCGAATGTTTTCCATAGCTCCTCCTGTAGCAGCTTATCGGACTGAGCGTCCAGCTTCGGACGACGGGAGTGGAAAATATCCTCAAAATAGATTCTAGCGTACTCCAGGATATGTGAAGTGTCCTTGGCTACTGGTTCAAAAGGGTCGAATGGGTGGGTGAGTTCCACTATAATAGAGTTCCCCTTCCTGGTTGAGAACCTCAAGAAGTTTTCTTTTGTCAGTCTGTCCCCAACCTCAATCCACTTGACCCTTGCTCTGTCAGCCCATATTTTTTCCTTTCTTATTTGAAAATTTTCCAGTTTATCCTTCCATGTGTTCCTTACCGAGTACCAGTATTCGTCCCAACCCGGGACAGACCAAACTTGCTTTCGGCCCACTCAACTTTTGCAATAATTTCCTGCTCCTCTCTTCTCTGATTAGCAGCTTTGATCCTAGAGGCAAAACTGAAGGACGCCGCTGCTGCTCTATTTCCAGCATCCAGCCAGTCACCTTCACTGTCAAAGTATGCTTTGTTTTGCTTCCATTTGACCAATAAATTGCCTATAGAACTTACCAAAGTTTTGTCATTCAAGATAGACATGTTCAGCCTGTAGTAACCCTTACCTATTTAAATTCTACTGTCCGGGACGAAGGTGGTCAAGACAGGTCTGTGATCTGACAATGAGTCAAACGGCATCTTCACCTCCATTGCCCAGTCCGCAGGCTTACCTCTAAGGAGGAAGTAATCCAGTCTAAGCCTGGTGTGACACCCATTAGCCCTTGCTTTGCTTGCAGTCCAAGTGAACTTTTTATCATCCGGATGAATGGTTCTAAAGGGATCAAACAACTCTTGCCCAATCATAAAGGAATTTAATGTCACTGTATCCCCCCTGGTTGGGTCCCCGGAGGTTGAGTCCAGCGATGGGTCCAGGACTGTGTTCCAGTCCCCTCCCAAGACTAGATTATCTCCTGTCGGAAGAAGGAGAGGGAGAACCTCAAAAAAATGAAACTTTTCTTTTTGGTCCGTAGGGGCATATACCGACATAAAGGACCAGTGGATCCCCTCCATTATCACCTTAATCCAAACCCACCTCCCCAATGAGTCTGCTAGATCATCCTCTAAATCAAAGCACAGGTCACGGCTAATTAATATAGTCGTCCCACCCTTCGTGCCGTCTGCAGGGGCCCAGAATTGTGGCCCCTGCCATTGCCATCTGTTTTGTGCTATCTTTTCTTCATCCAACTTGGTCTCTTGGATGAGGGCTATGTGCACTCGTTTTTGATGCAACCATGATTTCAGTCTCGCCCACTTTCTTGTGCCATTCGAATCCCCGAGGCCCCTGACGTTCCAAGAGACCACCCTGAGCTTAGTCATTCTTAACTACCTCTCCCCCAGATTGGATCAGGGACAAGTTGGGGGGAGGAAAGACCGAGATCTTTTCGCCCCCTGGGTCTCCAGCACATTCCACGCTCCCCGAATCTTTAACCGTAGGTACCAGGCTGAGACTGGATTTCCTTTTCCGGCTTTCCTTCCCAGCTAATCCATCCCCCTTATCGGGCCACGGGGCACTGAGAGTTTAACTGAAATACTCAGAAAACAAGTTGAGATCGCTTTGCAAAAGTCTGTTGAATTCAAAAATAACATCCCCCGAAACCGCTTCCACAGTATATACCATGTTGGCGTGCAGGGACTTCTCATCCATTGCCCATTTGAGCGGGCACCAGAAAGCGTGACCTGTTTCCAGTGCGGCCAGTTCCTGCTCAGTTGGTCTCGCATCATAAGCAGCAAGAAAGAGGTGCAATTTGTTGCCACTTGAGCTGGTTCTGATCAGCCTTCTGGAACTCAGCTTAGGAACTGCCCTGACCGCGACTGTTTGACCAATGTAAGTTTTGACCTTGGAGAGCATGAGGCTCTTCGTTGGATTTCCGTCCAGGGAGTAAGGGGTGAGATATCGGATGATTGACTCCTTGCTGTATGTGAGAAACTTGATGCCGTCCGGAGTCTGTCTGAAAACCAGGGGAATAAAATATTTTTTTTAATTTTGCCCCCCGGGGTTGTCTGGTTTTCGTGAGTTCCTGGCTTTCTCCCTACCCCAGTGGTCTGTCCACCCCCTTCTGTATACTCCATCCTCCCTTTTTTGTCCTTAGGGTTGCCGAGGTCATCTGCGGAACCTGCTGATTCGAACCAGTCTTGAGAGGTGTCAGTCTGACCCTCTGAATCCTCCTCTGCCCTGCTACTATCAATGATCTCTGCATCTTCAACAACTGCCTGATCTCCCCCTGTGTCCATCAGTTTCATTTCTGCATCTACCGAATGGTGAGCACCGACTACCTCTGATTTGAGGGTCCCACCCTGGTGCTGAGTACCCGGTATTGCACTTGTATCCGTCCCCTTGGTCCCAGCTGGGCTAGACGGGGGGGGCATGCTGCCTCTGAAAGTAAAACCTCCTTTCTCATTATTAGGCTCCTGATTTTTCCTCGTGGTCTGCTCATTGGGTAATGCCTCTATCTCGCTTGCCGGAAGCCCTTCGTGTCCTATCAGACATGCGGCTTGCTGAGCGGGCGTTCGGGGTTGAGCGGGCTGAACGGGTTGAGGAGGTTGCCCGGACTGAGCTGCGTGAACTGACTGGTCGGGTTGGACAGGCTGGAGAGGTTGTACGGAATGCGGATCTTTTCTCCCCCCCTCATCCAAACCGGTCTGTCCCCCTGGTGTAGTACCCGGCTTACTCCCGTCCTCTATTGAACCATTCGACCCCCCCATCTGCATTTTATCCATTTCCTTTGTTGCAGATTTGTCCTTAACTACTTTCCTCCATCCCAACGCTCTCTGAGAGGGTTTCTGAGCGTGGAGGTTGGGCTGGTCTAGACCTGGGACAGCTCCCATTAGACTCCCCCCTACCGGTTGTGTGCCCAGCTGAATCCCCTGAATGCCCTGAGGAACCTGCCCATTGTCCCATTGCTTGGGCGGACCCAACTTGAGGGCGCCTGCTTTCAGGCCGTCTCTGCTGGATATCGTATTCAAGGATGACTCCCAGCCTTTTCCGTTAACTTTTCCCCTGTTTTGTCTGGGGTTAGTAATTTGCCTTTGCTCCAACGTATTTATCGCAAACATTTGTGGGGTTTGTTGGGGCGTCGGGTTACGCCAGAGGTTTGGGTCCTGCTTGTAATCCAGCCCTTCTGGTTCCGCCTGCGGACAGCTGTCCGTGGGATGACCTACTTAGTCACGGCAGTTCTGACAGTAGTCTGTGTACTGAGTTACTATCCTAATCAGCATGGTGGAACCATCTGGCTGTGGCCACTTCAGATCATTTGGAACTCTATTTCTTCTGTCTCTCGGAATATCAAACTTAACGTTGTTAAGCTTGGGCATATCATCATACTTTTCAGGTGGGTACTGTTTCAGAACTCGGCCCACCGCAAAATCCAGCCCAGATCTAACAAAGGGAATTCCATTGAAAGGGACTCTCAAGGCCATGACCCAAATTTTGCTGACTTCTTCTTCCTCCCTGCTCTTCTCAATCTCTGTTTGAGACATCCAGCGTTTGAAAGTGAGTTTGTACAAACTGCCATCAATTTTGAGTTTGTGCGACCCCATGTTAATGAGAAAGTCCACTGTGTTTTTGTCCCTTGGGTAATAAGACATCACATTACGGCCCTCTTGGTGAACCCTTCCCCTTTCCTTGTGGTGCAGGTTGGGAGGGAGAAACGTATCCTCGAGAGATCTGATGCAATTTTCTTTTTTCTCCGCTGTAAGTGATTTGAAAGACCCCTGGAAAAATATAACCACTACCTGCTCATTGAGCCATTCCTCCTGAACTTTCTCAAACTCGGCGGGGAGGGAGATCTTCACTGATTTACCCTCCATTTCAAACTTTGCGATTTTGGACGTATCCAGAATCACTAATCTGTCGTAGCACTTTTCGAACATCTGTCTCACTCTTTCCACATTTACCTCAAGCTCCTCATCCTGACCCACCCTCTTCTCAACTTCCATACCCTCTTCCTCCGAGTCTGATTCGTTTTCCTCCCCTGGCCACCATCTTTGTCTCTCCTCCACCTCTTTCCCCCTCCCCTTCCTTATTGAACGAAGCAGCTCCTTCGGTCCTATCTGATCATCTGCATTATCTCTGATCTGCTTTTCCCCCCCTGTTCCCGCCACCCTATTTTTCCGGCTTCTCCCGTTTCCGGAGCTTATGCTGGTGCCCTCTCCCTTCACCTCATCCGCCCTAAACTCAAACCCCCCATTTTCTCCCCTACTCAGTGGCTGCTTCCCCTGGACATTTTCCCCTTCCAACTCCATGTTTACCTTCGTAATGTCCCCGTTATCCCCCCCTTCCTTCTCTTCGCTTCCTGATACTGGCTTTTTCCAGAATGGAGTGTACGAACCCCATTGGAAGCTTCCCTTTGCGCCCTCGGAGTGCATTCTATACCACTAGCTGCCACCGGTGTAAAGATTTGAAGGAAACATGTTAAAGTAAGTGGGGGGGATCACTAGAGTTGGATAAAGACACAGTCATACGGCCCCCCCTTTCACGCAGAATACGGGCGTATATGAGTTGAGCCCCTGTCACAAGGGAAGTCAGAAAAGGAAAAAAAAAGACACGGATATAATCCTGAAAAGGGAGAACCAGGCCGCCTTCTCCCTAGGCTCACGTTACTCGCCACTTTTGTTTTTGGTCGTTCGACCGCTTTCCACTACTGCACGGAATGGCGCCAGTCTCCGGACGATTTCCAGCAGGACAGGGTCCTAGTCAGTCGGCCCCCCTTTCACGCAAAATACGGGCGTATACGAGTTGGGCACCTTGTGGCAAGGGCAAACGAAAGGGGAAAGATGAAACAGAATTGAGATCAGTGAAACTCGCCAAAAAAAAAAACTGACCAGGCAGAACCAGGCCGCCTTCTCCCGAAGCTCACGTTGCTCTCGCCAGTTTTGTTTCGGCCATTCGGCCACTTTTCGCTACTGCCAGAGAGGGCACCAAGATCCGGGGGAACACCAACAGGACAGAGTCCTAGTCAGTCGGCCCCCCCTTTCACACAAAAAACGGGCCTAGGTTGGGTGGGTCCCCTGTTCCGAGGGAGAGCGAAACAAGAAAGAAAACGATGAATGCAAGAAAAGCAAGTTCTAGCCAAGTACACTGAAAAGGGAGAACCAGGCCGCTTCCTCACTAGGCTCACGTAGCTCGGGGCCCCCGAAAGATTCCTTCACACTAAAGATCCTGCGCCGACAATGACTTGGCCAGCTGGCCCCCCCTTTCCCGCAAAAAGCGGCCTTGGTGAAATAGAAACCCCCGTATCCAGAAAAGGCGAGAGAGAGCAAAGCAACGAGAGGAGATCGCCACCAAATTCGACAGAGCGAATCTCACCAGGTATTTACCCTAGACGGGACAGAACGAACTGAAAATCAGACACTCCGCTGTAGTGACAAAAGGGGGGAAGGTAGACAAAGCGCCCTCCAATCCGAAGAAGCCCGCAGCTGGACACTTGGCGTCTAGGAAAGGAAAGAGTTACCCTCCCGTCGGAGGGCGAGAAAAGAGACAGCAAGTACAGTTACTGGACGAGTCCGATATTAGTTTTGGAGAACAAGCAGCAGGTTAGTTGTTATTGGCTGAGGCTCTGGCACAGACACAGTGACAAAGGCTGTGGATGGGATAAGAAGATACCTTACATTCGTGGCCCGCTCCCTCCACAGTCGTCATTCTTGATACACGAGGTTTCGACGCCCCCTTTTATACATTTGTCTACCCAATATAGTAAAAGATTTACTATCTCAGTTCCATAAGAAGGACGCGCATTCCCACGCGTTCTTCGATTCGGTGTGTTCGGTGTACTCTTCCGAGGTTCCACCCCTCCCCTTCCCTTCCTGCCTCCTCTCCCCTTCCCCCCTCCTCCGGCTAAGATACAGAGAGGACAGTCCAGTCCGACGCGTGCTTAACTGCTCTGCTGTTTTTTTAGCGAAACAGTTGCTGCGTGGAGCTGCCGTCTCGCCCGTGCTTAGCGCGCCGGGCTATGGCGGCTGAACACCGTCTGTCTAACCCTATTCGTGAAGCTCGACGCTACGTGCCTAGTGCGCTATTGCGCCGCCGCAACGCAGGTCCTCCTCTCTATTGTTGTTCGCTGTTTTAATTATTTTTTGCATTGACAAATGCCTTGAAAATTTACAGATATGTAGTTTACATAATCAATAACTCATTAAAAAATGTTCAAAAAATAATAAAATTTTTTAGGCCCCGAAATAAAGTGAAAACAAAAAGTTAAAAGTGAAAAAAAAACAAAATAGTGAGTGGGCGAGCACGTTTTGACACCCCCATCTTTGATGATTTTTAATGTTTTTTTGGCTTAGCGGAATGGCTTCAAAATGTATAGGCGTATAGGTTACATCATAGAGAACTCACAAGAAAAATTCAGAAACAAAAACGTATTTTGAGGCCCCGAAATATTTTTTGGCGGGGGCCGAACCTGGAGGTGTTTGGCCCCCGAACGGGACCCCGAACGCCCGAACGTTCGGGGGGCAGCCCGGGGGCCCCCGAACGTTCGGTCAGGTAACCCTGTATATATATATATATATATTTTTTTTTTTCTGACTATTTTTATTTTTAAATTCTGTAAATAATTTCGATGTGACCCTGAGGCAAAATTGTTCAGTTTATTTTTCTGCAGAACATACTTTTTTTTGAAAAAGTTTCCAGATTTTTTGGTGTTTCCCCCCCCCCTTGTAACCCTTTTGGGTCCTTACACGGATGGGCCACCCGGGCAAACAACGTGGCCCGGGTGGCCCGCTTGGTAGTCTAGCTTCACACCTACTAGCTTCACACCTATAAACATGACATTAAAAAAAAAAAATACATTCCCTGTTTGTGACACAGTCAAACAGCCTACACTCCTTTGGTTAACCATGTTTTTTTTTTTTTTTTTTTTTTTTTTCCCCTTAAGACTCGTTGAAAACCATGTGCTATGGATAGTGAACACAACAATGAAATCGTAACCGGCGTTTGGGACGGGCGGAACGCCCGAACCCGAATGCCCGAACGTATGGGACCCCTTGGGGATGCGTTCGGCCGTTCGGGCCGAACGCGGACAAAAAAAAAAAAAAAAAAAAAAAAAAAGGTCATCAAAAAAATCTGAAGAAAAGATATGTTATGGAGAGAAATAAATTAAACAAGATTTGCCTGAGTGCTACATCCGAATTCCTTACCAAATTTGAAATAAAAGTAAAATACGGAAAACAAATACTAATAATAAAAATAAATAGAAATAAAAAGAGAATTAAATTTACTGAGTGCGCGAGCATGTTTTCGACACCGCCATCTTTGGCGATTTTTCTTTTTTTTTTGGCACAGCTAAATGCCCTGAAAATTTACAGATGTGTACTTCACATAATAAAATACCCACTTAAAAAGTTTCAAAAAATAATAAAATTGTTTAAAACCCGAACTAAAGTGAAAACAAAAAGTAAAAAGTGAAAAAATACGTGGGAGAGCACGTTTTGACACCGCCATCTTTGGCGATTTTTAATTCTCATTTGGCTTAGCCAAATGACTTGAAAATTTACAGGTCTGTACCTCACGTCATAGAGAAATCACAAAAAAACATTCAGAAAAAAATTATTATTAGTAGGCCCCGAAACAATTTTTGGCGGGGGCCGGACGCCGTCGGGTTCGGGCCCCGTACGGGACCCCGAACGCCCGTACGTACGGAGGTCTGCCCGGGGACCTCCGTACGTACGGGCTGGTGACCCTGTATATATATATATCGTCACAAACAGAACTGCCCGGACCCTGTATATATATATATATATATATTTTATTTTTTTTCCTGACTATTTTTAATTTTACTTTCTGTTAATAATTTCGATGTGACCCTGAGGCAAAATTGTTCAGTTTATTTTTCTGCAGAACATACTTTTTTTTGAAAAAGTTTCCAGATTTTTTGGTGTTTTTTTCCCCCCCTGTGACCCTTTTGTGTCCTTACACGGATGGGCCACCCGGGCAAACAACGTGGCCCGGGTGGCCCGCTTGGTAGTCTAGCTTCACGCCTATAAACATGACATTAAAAAAATATATATACATTCGCTGTTTGTGACACAGTCAAACAGCCTACCACTACACTCCTTTGGTTAACCATGTGCTATGGATAGTGAACACAACAATAAAATCGTAAGTTATGCCGCTGAAAAGTTGGCTCCCAAACTCGTTCCCACCTTCATGGCTGTCAAGCATGGTGTGGGTGATGAACATGGTATACATGGGGGGAGGGGGGGCGGCCCACCCCTCCCCCACACTTAAACATAACTTGACAATGGGCGGCCCACCCCTCCCCCACACTTAAACATAACTTGACAAAACGCAAGTTTTATGTTCCCTAATCTATAAAGGAAAAACAAATCTCCCCTAATCTATACATGGGGGCGGAGGGGGTGTGGGGGAGGGGCCCCCCCCTCCCCCACACTTAAACGTAACTTGGGAAAAGGCCAGTTTTATACCCTGGGGTTCGACATAGATAAGGGGTGCGGAAAATTCAGCAACACTTTATACCCTGACACTTGACATCAATAGGGAAAACAAATGGGGTGTCCACAAAAAACCGAGCTTTGGAACAAGCCCCCCCTTCCCCTCACCGGAGACAAGAACGCTCCCTGCCCCGCAATTGTGCATGGCACCGCTGTGGCGTTTCGCAAGACTACAACCTCTGGCCCTGGCTACACTTGCTTGAACTTTTTCTGCTGTCTGAACAATGAGCAAAAGTCGACCAGCCGGTTCCAAACCGGCCCCTTCTTCGCACTCCCTTNGAGGGGGGGCGGCCCCCCCTCCCCCACACTTAAACATAACTCGACAAAACGCAAGTTTTATGTTCCCGAATCTATAAAGGAAAAACAAATGTCCCCTAATCTATACATGGGGGGGGAGGGGGGGATGGGAAGGGGGGGCTGCCCCCCCTTCCCCACACTTAAACATAACTTGAGAAAAGGCCAGTTTTATACCCTGGGGTTAGACATAGATAAGGGGTGCGGAAAATTCAGCAACACTTTATACCCTGACACTTGACATCGATAAAGGGAAAACAAATGGGGTGTCCACAAAAAACCGAGTTTTGGAACGAGCCCACCCTTCCCCTCACCGGAGACGGGAACGCTCCCTGCCCCGCAATTGTGCATGGCACCGCTGTGGCGTTTCGCAAGACTACAACCGCACCCCCTCCCTCCCGCACTTCGACATGGGGGGGGAGGGGGTGTGGGGGAGGGGGTGTGGGGGAGGGGGGCCGGAGCCCCCCTGCCCCCACACTTAAACATGACTTAAGAAAAGGCAGGTTTTATACCCAAAACCACAGCCCGGCCTGCCTTAGGGAACTTGGGGGTATCGCATATCGCTGCCACCCATAGCGTTTCTTAGGCTGAGCCTCTCCATCAACAACGGAAAGCCCCTCGCCCTGGCTGCGCCACCACGCTTGGCGTGGTCTAACAGTGCGTGAGCGTGTGCGAGCTTGCGAGCTCGTCGGCGGGATGCCAGCACACCAGGTCGTTTACCCG